GGCCCCGAGCTCCGCCGTCAGCACGAAACCGCTCCGGTCTAATAGCCCCATGACAGGCACCGGCTCCATCCCGGGGCCGGGGGGAGGGAGGAGAGAGGGCTGGGGGAGCAGACCTGTTCAACCCTGTTTTTTTCCCCACTGCTGAGGAATTAAGCTCATTTTTTCAGCCTTAAAATACAGATGGATTTTTTTTTTTTTTCTTCCTTGGTGACAGTTCCCCCAGGCTCTTTAAGTGGCTCATCTCAAGTCGACGAAGGCTTTGAGCAGATGTCAGGAACGCGTACCTCCCGGGAGCCAGGGTGCGAACAAGGCAGGGGAATACGACCCCTTCGAGAGCATGAAGGCAAATAGAAAACCAACAAATTATTATTTCTAAACCTCACAATGTGCTACCTCCTGCCCACCGACCGATGGGAAGGGCAGCAGGGGGCTTAGGTCTTCCCTCGAGGTCTCCAGGGTCCATGGGGATACAAGGAGGAGCTTGACAGCCAAAGGGTGCACACCAAGAAGCCGGAGTCCAACCCAAGGTCAGATTTTTACTCCAACACAGTTAGTTTTCCGACGGTCCTAATGTTAGCCCTGGCTCAGGCTTTTAGGATTGATTTTAGTGAACTTCCAGGACAAGCTGGCAGGTTGATTGGTTTGGTGCTCCTCACCAGCATTGAGCAGGACCTCCAAATGCGCAGGTCCCGCTTGCTGTCCCAGCTTTCATCCGTCTTCCTGATGCAGGAACCGGGAAATACTCTCACAGGACTGGGAGAGGGGAGTAATCAGAGCTCTGCTCCGGAGACAGCATTGTACCAGTGCCTGATCCACACTCACAGGGTCATCAAAACAGCATGGTCCTGTCATCACACAAGTGCTTGGTGCCATTTACCCACCCGCTCGGTCTGCAGCCATAGTGTGCTTTAGTGCCTTTCAGAGTCCCAAATGCTACCAGCTGATCCATAAAGAACATTTCTACCCCCTTCGACCTGTTGGGATCCTAAATTCTCCCCTCAAGGAGCCCGAATGCCAGGCATGCTCCCCACGCAAAGGCAAAATGCTCATTAGGAGCTACACAGCGCCCATGCTCAGGTGGCACAAGAGGCTTCTCCTTCAGCATCAGTGCCACCAAGCAGTGGGAGCACGGTGGGAGATGGGCACTGCAGCACAGAAAACTCAGCAATTTCCCAGTGCACAGGGGTCTGCTCGGCACAGCTTCGGTCGCATGAAAACATCATGACCATTTGGGAGTTTGCATGAGAAAAGGAAACAAAACAACCCATGGAGATGGGTCCAATGCCCACCCTGAGCCGGCTTGCTCCCACGCCTCTCACGTCCTGCTGTCCTCCAACCTCTGCCCTGCCCCAAACTACAAACACTGGGTAGGTGGAGCACGCTCTTACCAGGGGGTTAGAGGTTCTCAAGACCTCAAGCCCCTCCACTGCACCAGCGGCGGACAGAAAGGACAGAAAGGTCAACACCACCAAAACCTGCAGCAGTTTTACATTATCATCGTTCTCCTACATTTCTAGCAAAATCACATTATTTCCCAATTCCAGTCTTTAGCTAAAATTAGTATTTACTTTTCCACAACATAAAAATGTCATTTTGCCATAAAACCATGTGCGCTTTCTGTTTGTTTATCCAATAGCAGCGGAATGTCTCGCCAGAAATGCTCCAGTTTGCAAAGAGCCCTCCCTCCGACGGAGCGCTCCAGCCCCTCACGAGCACAGACCGTCTCCTGGTGGGAACAGAACCACGCTCGGGGTCAGCCACAAAACTTGAAGGAATCCACTGGCAATACTGCTCAATGTGAAAGCACGGCGCGAGCACACGGACTCTGGTGGTTTCCCCGTTTTCGGAGCCCTGGCATGGGAAGGCATCATCATCCCCACCTTGGCCAGGTGGGAATGTGTTTTTTCACAGTGAAAACCTACACAAGTTCCCATGTTTAAAGCAAACGAACAAACAGGTTTCTCCTCAGCTTGAATCCCAGCTTCGCCATTTTCATATATCTGCAGTTACAGGTGGAGAAGAAACACTGTGGTGGCCACCCCAAGGAGCATCACAGCCAAGCCTGGTGCTACACATGCTGCCGCTTGCACCAAAAGTGGTCCAAATCAGACCTCCTCCCGTCACCCACTTCCCCAGAACCAGACCTAAAGCACTTTGACACGTGCCTTTGACCTTCTCCTTCTTCCCTACCCTTCCTTGACCTGGTGGTGCCCACCTTCTAGAAGCTATATGGAAAGGGCTGATAAAACACGGTTAGCTTCTCATGCAAAAAGCCCTCTCCTCTTCCCTCCTAAGCAGTGCACAAAAACAGTACCTTAATTTGTGAGAGGAGAAGGAAAGGGCAGCAAGTAAAGATCATAGGAAAAAAAAAATAATCCTCCAATGTTATTTGGGAAATATTCGCCAGAACAGCAACTGGAGATGAAACGTGGTGAGCACCATTTCCGTATCTACAGCCCCATGCCCCAGAGGACTCTAGTAGGCAGCGGCACACTGGCAGCGTGGCTGGGGGAACCCAAAAAAAACAGCAAAAAAAATCCAATTAATGCCGAGAATCAGAGCAGCTTCGCTGCAGCCGGGCCCGACAGCGGCTGCCTGGCT